TCTTGTGTATCATGGTAAGTTGTTGCAGCTTCTTGAGTCAGCCTTTATATATCATTAGAAGTATAGAACACTAATGACACAAATGTTGTATATATTCTTTGACATTGTAGTGCTGTTCGATGAACTGATCCTTCTTTCCTTCATTCCTGTTTTTCCTTTTTTTTCTTTTTTTTTTTATCTCCCTTGTTGTAACCAAAAGCCCCTTTATACCATGCAAATTAAATGCATTCCTTTTGGCAGAAACACCTGTTGATTTAACTTTAGATGAAGGAAAATATAGTTGGTACGGCAGTTCCCAGGAAATGAAATTTAAATTATTAACAAGTTAATGAACATTTTTCTTACACTATTTTTTCACCTTTTTTTTAGTCGATTTTCTGTTATTTAGATTAGATCTCTGTAAGGGAAAGAAGATTATAACAATAATAAGAAAGTTGCTTGAAGTCTTTTGATTTTGCAAACTTGCATCCTTTCCCTTCAGAATTTTATACGTTAGCTGGGCGAATACGGTGGGTTTGTAGACACTGCTTCTTAACAAAATACCTGTACCTGCAAAATGTTCGGAATTTTCGTTGAATAATTGTCCTATGTCAGAATGTTGCTAATTTGGGTACTTGAGTTACTACTATTGTAACAATTTTGTGCAAGATTGTTCTGTCATTCCCTGCAAAATTTGTACGAGATATGTGCCGTCATAATAGCTTTGAACACTCATTCAGTTGAGAGATAGCTTATTTTTTAAAAATTCTAACAATTTTGTGCAAGATTGTTCTGTCAGCTGTTTGGCATATGGTTAAAAGTCTGTCAGCTGTTCGACTTAATGATGCTTGGAATTCTGATGAGAATGAATGTTTAATACCATTTTGGTTTGGTATCAACAGCAAATAACAATGAGGAAGATTGGGGAGCAAAAGCTAAAGCATGGCTTGCTGCGAAAGCTGCCACAGAAAATCAGAACCCTTCTCCGCAGTTTGTAACAGGCGGAGGAACAGAAGAGAAGTATCAGTACCGTGAGCAATATTCTCAATGCAGTGACCCTCATACCCAGTTCTCTTCCGCATCAAACTATCAACAGTACCCAGGTGCAGTGGGACCCACAAACCATACAGGTCTCTGTCAGTTCCAAGAGTCCCAGGATGCCAGTTCTGGACAATCTTCTTATGGGGCAAATATGCATGTGGCTTCTGCTGCTAGAGATGGATGCCATTCAACTACACCTATAAATCCATTAGTCCATCAGCAGGAGGTACCTTCTAGTTATTCTTCTGTTGCAGGTAAAACCTTAATTGGATGTTATTGCATTTGAATCCTCCGCCCAAAACATTGTTTCTGTTATCTGTAATTAAGATTCAGTGAGTGAGATACAGCTTCTGCAGCAGTAACAACCTAGATATAAATAAGGTAAAAGAGTTGAAGGCATTGCTCAGTTGGGGATTATTGTGTGGTTGTGTGGTTATGGGGCATTTTTCAAAAAGCTTTTTAGGTATACAACAATAGAACTTCATAATCAATCAACATGGTAGTGTAGTTTGGGCTAGGAGATTCATAGTAGGGATGGTCCGTTATCAAGCCGATACCATACTGATGTTGTAACATATCAGCTATAGAAGCTTTTAAGTTTGAAGTTCAAGTAATTTGCTATTGATTGTTGACATGGAAAATTCTTGTTTACTACTTACACTCTAAACCTGTTCATGATCAGGTCTAATTTATATTTAGGAAGGGCTGGGGTCTATTAAGCAGAAAAAGATCTTGACTTGTGTCTTTTATTGCAGGCAATGAAGAGGTTGGAGATAGATATGAAAGTTTCAATAGCTCTTCATCTCTGCCTGTTGCCCTTCCTCCTCAACATGTCCAGCTGCTGTCACCTGGACGAGATGGACGGGTGCAGGAACCTCGTAATTTTGGCAGCATTCCAGCTGAGTCCCCATCAACTCTGAGAGATCAACCTTTTAATTTTGCCCCTCAGCTTACGCGTAACCTGGACCCACATGCACAACCCAATTATAATTATTCTTCAGGAGCTGTTAGAGGTGGGGAGACTATATCTTCAAACTATGCATGGCCATCTTCTACGGTGCCAGGAGGTGCTTATCCCCTGTTGCCTCCACCAAACCCATCAGTTGCACAGGTTACCTGCCTATCCTTTTATTCTATGTTGTTGTTTATCTTTGTTGTGTTATATATTGTGACTCCTTTCATATCTCATAGGTTGATCATCCAATAGCTATGCCTTCTCCAGCTTCCGGACATCCTGCTCCTATGTTTCCTACTGGGCCTAGTTTCCAGCCAACAATTCCTATGATAGGAGCTGCCTTTGGTGTTGGTGTGGGAGTAGCACCTCCTCCTACAGCTTTTCCTGTAGATGCTCATGGCGTTTCTGAACGCCCTAAGAAGGTGGGAGATCTTTTAGTGCTAGCTTTGTCTTGGTAACTTCGTTAGACATATGGAAGTGATTCTTTGAATTGTAGGCATCAGTACCTAATTGGCTTAGGGAGGAAATAATTAAAAACAAAGCTGTTATCACAAGTTCTGTCCCAGAGATTCCCAAAGACGACTCCCAGTCCATTGAAGAAGATAGTATTGGCAAGTCTTTCAGGAAAGGATATCAAGGGGATAGCAAAAGCATTGATTCTTCTAGGTCAACTGAAGATGAGGACGAAGATGAGGTGACTCTCTTTCTCTCTCTCTCTCTCACACACACACAAATATTCCAAGAGCTGTTAGTGATGGCATGTTCTGGCGTCGCATTTCTGCTTTGATTTTTTTATGGTACCATTTGGCGACTCAGTATTTTAGAGAAGTCCCCCTCGTCTTTTGGCACCTAAATTGTACATATCCATGCATTGTAAAACTTGTTTTCAAATACTACAGAGGAAACTTCCAAGTCATGCATCGTCCTTTTCTGCCTCTATATATTTCTAATTCTCGTACTTTACCTTTTTTATGCCTCGAGTATAACTCGGTCTCTCTCTGTCTTTCTTTCTTTCTTTCTTTCTTTCTATCTTTCTTTCTTTGTAGGATGATGTAGAAGCGGCAAGAACTGCAGCCATCAACCAGGAGATAAAGCGTGTACTTACAGAAGTCCTGATGAAGGTTGTTGCTGGTTAATTTATATTAAACATTCATTAAACTTCCAGACATGTTTTAACTAGGATTCTTTGGCAGGTTACTGATGAACTTTTCGATGAAATAGCAACCAAAGTTCTAATAGAAGACGATCTCTCAGTTGAAGGTGACTTCCATTGAACTGCTCTACCAAGTTTCATCTTTTTTATCGTCTTATCTTCTCTTCTTTGTAGTGCATGGGGTATTAGGATCACTTGAAATGTTCATTATCTTATACTTCATCTGTGGTGCATATTATATGTCATGCATGCCTTTCTTATCCATGTAGTTGGCCGTGACGTTGGCTTGTCAAACCACCAAATGTTACCCTCTATGCAATCTGTTTCAAGACCCAAGGCATCTGCAAAGATTCTGACTCCTATAAAGACCAAGGATAGTGATTATGAGGATGCCAGTGAAAAATCAACCTCTGCCCCCCCTGGGGACATACTAGGTTTGGGTAGTTATGTCTCAGACGAGGAAGACGAGGATATACAGAGTAATTTCAAGGAAAGCTCTACTCATCTGCAATCTTTCTCGGGCAAACCTTTGAAAGGTAGTTCTATCAACGAAAATGGCTCTTCCATGGGAGCAACAGAGGAACAATCGAACTTCCCTGCTAAACTGGACTCTGATAGCACTAACAAAAAGAGTCCAGTCAGTGCTACTCCTGAAGGCAGTGTTGCAAAATTGGAGTTCAGTGATTATAAGAAAGCTGGAGACCTAGCATTCATTGATGAGGGACGTTCCTCAAAGAGGGTCTATAGGATTGCAGCAGATGAATTGCAACATGAACCTGATATTTCCAAGCTAAATAATTCGCTGAATAAAAAGGTCGAGAGAAATGAGGATGATTCGGATGCCAGAAGGGTGGCTAAAGATGATTCCGGAATCCAAGATATTCGTAATCGCTATGATAAGAATGATAGGACTGAACATAAAAGGAGCTCGGCTAATAAAGACCCCAATTATTCAGAAAGTTCCATGGAAGGGATCAATAAGAAAGGCGATGAGGGGAATGGAAGGCACTCAAGAACTGAAAGGCCAGAGTATCACAATAATTCAGAAGATAAGGGTAAGGAGAAAGGTAGGACTGATGGAATAGTAAAGAATAATGAGTCAAGGAAACGCCATTCATCTTTAGGTGGCAAGGAAGGTTGTATCTCCACTGAGATACAGAGAGATAAAAGAGCTAGTGAGAAAAAAGAATACAACGATAGAAGAGAAGATGGAACAAGGGGAGAGAAAAGAGAACGCTCTCGAGATAAAATCGAAAGTAAATCAAGCCAACATAAACGGCGACATTCTTCTTCTGTCAGAGATAGGGATAGCAAGGATAACTCTTTGGTTAATCGAGCACGTGATTCCAGCCACGAGTCGTTGAATGATTCTAGAAGGTATGCCCTTTTATGAAAATATGATCCTGTTTCAAATTCTTATTTTCCAGTTTCTTACAATGTGTTTTGATTTGTAGAAAATCACATGATTCACATCACTCAAGAAGGCGTAAATCCCCATCACCTGTCAGGTCAAGAAAGAGGTATGTTTACCACAAAAGAATGCTACCAACATCATTATTTAACATTAATCTATAAAAGATATTAACATATTTTCTCTCAATTATCAGTATAGGGTCTGTTTTATTTTTTTATGTCTGGTTTGTTTTATTTAGCATGTCAATTAACTAAAGAAAAGCAAATTGATAAGACAAACACAAGATAATTAAATATGTTTGGTAAGTTAAAACATTATATTTATTTTTTCTTGTTAAATGACCATTTATATGAATTAGTTCCTTTACATCTCGTTTAACTTCAGAAATATGTTAATTTTTAGCACATGACATGGACATACTGACTTGATCTGAATACTGATAGAAACAAGCAACTCATTTAAACTGGCTGAGTTTTATTGGTGCTGTGGAGTTTCTAGACATATATCGAGTGTCTGGCTTAGCAGTGATTTCATGGTTCGCTGTTCATATATTTTTGGTTGATCTGAAGAAGAAATTTTCTTTAATCTGTTGTAGAAGAGAATTCCTTGTATATAGCAGATGAATTCTGCTTGGCAGTACACCATTGCGTCGTTCTTGTTCCTTTATTTTTCATTTTACGAAATCAGAAATGTGCATGCATACTAGGTACTGTTTAGTGTTTTATCTTGCTCGTAAATCTATTCATCCTTGGGACATGCGTTCTTTGATTTGATAATCTACGATCCATATTCTGGTGAGTTGTCCAGTTAGATTGTGTATTTTAAATCTTGCATGAAAGTAAAATATATAAATAGAATTGCAACGATGCCAGCATGTTTAATTACCTTGAGGTAGCCTCTTATTGGAAACTCCATGAATCATAATGCCATTTTCGACATCTTTTTCTTTTTTGGTAGCATCTGCAGGATATGCCAGTGATGCATCAATGCAATGTTTATATGTAGCCAGATGAAATGACCACTAGTAGTTCCGCTGACATTTAAACCTTGGAAAAGCAAGACTTAGAATTTTGTAGTCTAACAACCGAAGTATGATAATTATTGCATTTGATAGGCTCTCCTGAAAGTAGTATCACACTCATACACTATAGGCAAGTACTAATATGCCTGGGTGTCCTTGTAGCCCGTGTTTGATTGATGGGCTTATAGGACGGGATAGTGTTAACCATTACCAACAGCAATCAAACTACATTCATTCATCTTAGTTGCCTAAAAAAAGTCATTTCTTATAAATCGTAAGTATCCCCCAAAGGTTTGTGATTATATTAGCAAATCAACAGATGCAATTTGTAAAATAAAAATATTTGTGTTTTTTTCTTCTTGTATTTTGTAGTGATATTGGTAATTATCTCTCTTCTTCTGTTTTTGTTTTTATGAGACTTTGTCTATGAATCCACATGTAATCAGTATGTGACTCAGGTGAATAAACATTTTCCAGCACTATGATAGTATCGTGAACATTATTAGTATAAACATAGTTAAATTGCAAAATTTCAGGGGAAAAAGATCATCTTCTAGATCAAGGTCGAGATCACCTCT